TTCATTTTCTGCCTGGTCCTTTTCTTTCCGATTTCTCCTGTTTGTGTTTTAGAGTTTAGGCTCTTCCATTTTTGTTCCAAAAATTTGTCAAATGTTTATGCCAGCATGGATGTATATACGATATCATTGGTAGGGCTTATTTTCCCATCTATAGCGGTTTTGTAGTTTCGTATGAATGTCTACTTATGTAACTTCGGAGATTACTTTCAGCCGCAGGACATTGGATGAGACTCCATCCAGGTGTCTTCATAATTTTTTTCTCCTCAGCTATTGCCCTCAACTTCACTGCTTCTTCCCACCTTCCTGCACCGACTACATGCTTGCCAACGAAATATATAGGGTCCATATGGTGTAACTGGAGCTTTTGATGAAAGTCCTTTTAATGCGGGACAGGTTAGGGGGTATGGTGGGCTTGAGGATTTAGAGGCTGTTTGGGCAAATATATACTGTGAATAGTATGCATGAACAGTAATATATGGTTTGTTTATGATAGAAAAGAGGAGGAATAGAAAATAAACAACGAGAATGATAGAAAAGATTAAGAGTCACATCTAGTATTTTTAGGCATCGCACCTAAAGAGAATAAAACCTTAACCATCACATCTAAAGCTAGTTGCATCACAACTAAGATTGCATCACACAATCAAAAGCAACATTTGCTGGAAAATTTTGAATATTATTAACTGTATAATGAAAGAAACTACATGCATATTTATGTAGAAACTACTATGACTCCTATTAGAACTCCTATTCTAATTAGTCTATAACTTAAAATTTAAAATTTCTAATTTAACTAGGACTTAATATTTTTGATAAAAGACCTAATTCTAATAAAAGTAGTAAAACTAATGATGACTACACTTGAATAAAAATAATTACTTAAGAATTTTAAATAATCTAAATAACTATCAAATAGCTTCTTCTTGTTCCTCATCATTCTCCCCTTGTTGAAAAAAGCTCGACCTTGAGTTTTGAAGTGCTGAACATACCCTAAACAAAGGATAAATGGGAATTATCTTCATCATCTTCAAGATCACCAGCCATATAAACTCCAAAATCATAGGAATTTTCTTTAGTATCTTCAACTTTTTGTTTTTCATCATCTTGTGCTTTTCCCATATGCAGATTGTTTCTTCTTTGACATTGAAAGGCCATATGTCCATCTTCCTCACACTTGAAGCAAGTTACACTTTCATTACTCTCTTTGTTGAATGCGAAACCCTGTTCTCCTCCTTTTTGAGAAGTATTATTTGGCCCATTGTAGTTCGAACCCTATAAAGCATCTGAATATTCATCATAATTCTTTCTTGCTATTACATCCTTATTTGAAGCTGATTTTCTTATCATTCTAGTTGTTTATATATTCTTCTGCATTAGGTGCGGCTTGGAATACATCTTCAAGACTATAAATAGGCTATCTAAGTAATTCGTTTTTTATATCAACTCTTAGACCAGCTCTAAACCAAGAAGTAGCTTGTGAGGCATCTTCCACAACTTGACTGTAGATCTTTAGCTCATCAAAATTCTACATATACTCAGCCACTGTCATGCTTCCTTGCCTCAAATTATAAACCTTATCACTCATCTTGTCTAGATAATTTTGTGGCGGTTAAACCCCCATTTTGGTCCCTCAACTATCGTACGGATCCCCGACTTAGTCCCTCAACTCAAAAAATCCCTGATTTGGTCCCTACTGTTTACCATTTTGACCCGATTTAGTCCCTCTGTTAAAAATCCGTTAAAATTCCAGTGACGTGTCCTTGATTAACAAAAACATGATGACATGTCAAAAATAGAGTGACACCTCAAACGAACACCTAGAAAAAAAAGATGACATGGCAGTATCCATTTTGCCCCAAAACCAAACAAGGAAAAAAAGTGGGCCCCACCTCCTGCAAAGCCTGAACCCTTCTCCCCCTTTTTTCCCTAAACCCATTCGAACCTAGAACAACA